CTTCAACAAAGGCGGAACACTCTTTCTCATGGAAACGCTGCTCCCCTGTTTCAAGAATAAGGACCCTAGAGGTCATTCCAAGTAATGGAGCAAAACTCGCCGATCATGGAACAAAGCTCGGAAAACAAAATGCGCATATAAAAACTCCAAAATTTTTACCCATGTTGCTAGGAGATATTCCTCGTAGCTGTGTAGTTCATTCTAGAGTCGCTTTCATGTGCAGTGTGCGAAGCACCTGGAGCATTTCACGCCCATTATACTCAATGCGTTTTGCACGCGAACGTTTGAAAATCAGTTACAGGTGCATCAAGGGAAACAGGCGAGGAAAGTGAGAGCAGCTTGAGAGCGCCAAACTCTGTTCGCCCGAATGTGTAAAATTGTAGCCGGAGTACTTCGGCCTAATTCGAGAGCGTTGAGCGCTCAAAGCGTGGCACCCGGAAGCGGCTCGTCATGGAGCGAGTCATGGAGCAAAACGAGCTGATCATGGTGCAAAATAGAGCAAGACTCGGAGAACAAAATGAATATGATCAAATTTCAGAATTTTCACTGAGGGGGCTGGGAGAGATTCTTGGGAGCTCTGTAGGTCTCTCCTGGTAATGGAGCAAAACTCGCCATTAATGGAGCAAAACTCGCCGATAATGGAGCAAAACGGAGCAAAACTCGGAGAACAAAATGAACATGTTCAAATTTAAAAAAATTCACCGGGGGGGGACTAGGAGAGATTTTTGAGAGTTCTGTAGGTCTCTCCTGGTAATGGAGCAAAACTCGCCGATTATGGAGCAAAACGGAACAAAACTCGGAGAACAAAATGAGCATGTGCAAATTTAAAAAATTTCACCGGGGAGGGGGGGGGGGGGCTAGGAGAGATTTTTGGGAGCTCTGTAAGTCTCTCCTGGTAATAGAGCAAAACTCGCCGATAATGGAGCAAAACGGAGCAAAACTCGGAGAACAAAATGAACATGTTCAAATTTAAAAAATTTCACCGGGGAGGGGGGGGGGGGGCTAGGAGAGATTTTTGGGAGCTCTGTAAGTCTCTCCTGGTAATAGAGCAAAACTCGCCGATAATGGAGCAGCAAAACTTGGAGAACAAAATGAACATGTTCAAATTTGAAAAAATTCACCGGGGGGGAGCTCTGTAGGTCTCTCCTGGTAATGGAGCAAAACTCGCCGATTATGGAGCAAAACAGAGCAAAACTCGGAGAACAAAATGAGCATGTTCAAATTTAAAAAATTTCACCGGGGGGGGGGGCTAGGAGAGATTTTTGGGAGCTCTGTAAGTCTCTCCTGGTAATAGAGCAAAACTCGCCGATAATGGAGCAAAACGGAGCAAAACTCGGAGAACAAAATGAACATGTTCAAATTTAAAAAATTTCACCGGGGAGGGGGGGGGGCTAGGAGAGATTTTTGGGAGCTCTGTAAGTCTCTCCTGGTAATAGAGCAAAACTCGCCGATAATGGAGCAAAACGGAGCAAAACTTGGAGAACAAAATGAACATGTTCAAATTTGAAAAAATTCACCGGGGGGAGCTCTGTAGGTCTCTCCTGGTAATGGAGCAAAACTCGCCGATTATGGAGCAAAACAGAGCAAAACTCGGAGAACAAAATGAGCATGTTCAAATTTGAAAATTTTTACCGGGGGGGGCTGGGAGAGATTCTTGGAAGCTCTGTATGTCTCTCCTGGTAATGGAGCAAAACTCGCCGATAGTGGAGCAAAATGGAGCAAAACTCGGAGAACAAAATGAGCATGATCAAATTTCTGAATTTTCACTGGGGGGGCTAGCGTTAATTCAGCCCCCCCCCCCCACCTAATAGGCCACATAGTCTCTCCACTGTAATGGAGCAAAAATCGAAATTAGTGGAGCAAAATGAGAGCAAAATTATGGGATAATTTTCATCCAGAAATTTTCTTTGGGGGGGGGGGGGGGGGGGCTAACTTAACTGACCCTTTATTTATGGAAGGAAAAAACAAATTCAACGTTATGAAACTGCAGGAGGGTACAAAGATTCAACAACAATTAGAAAACGGAAGTTTTATTTGTTTTGGTTTATCAAAGTATGAGGTTATGATTTGATATTATTCATGGCAAAACGTAACTGCGCCTGCGTATGACTACTATTTTCACGAAACTTTTGCTAGACTTTTATTTGCCGTGTCAAACAGGAAAAAGCGAAACCAAGAATAGTAAAATTACGAAATATTTCGGCAATAATTTCGTGAATAATTTCGTGAAAAAACTTTGCCGTGTAAAACGGCTCTTAGGGAAAATGTAAGAGATATTGAATTGTAGAAACAAAAAATAATTACACGAAACAGTAAGGCATGACATGACATCATAGCAATAAAACCACACACTTTATTATGTAACTTAGGTAACCACAAAAAAAAAACTAACATAAGAAACATAACAAACAAAGTAAGAGTCAGCCAATCCAAACTTTTGGCAACAATCAACAGATACATTATGTAGATATACACTAATAGTACAGAAACGTTTCAAAAAATTATCCGATCAGGCGTCAGAACGTTTTAAAAACGTCAGTAGAAGTAACTGAGAACATTCAAAGGTGCATTTTTATTTAGTGCAAATGTCATTTCAAACGTCATATAGACGTCGAAAATGAGCGTTTCAAAAACGCCTTAATACGAACGCTTGAAAACGAAAAATAACGTTTTTCAAAGATCTCTATGAACATTCACTGGACTTCCTTCAAAGTATCCAATACCATCCAATAGACTTATTTTAAAGGTAGTGCAAATATCACAGTTACAAACAACATTTTAAAAACGTCTTTTTCGAATTAATTTCCGGACGTGTGGACGTGGGATACAACGACCAAGAGAAACCTTTACAAAATGTCTCTCATGACATTTCATGAAAACATACTATTACGAACGCATAGAAAACATTCCGACATTCTTTAATTATTACTAACAGAGGTTTTAAAAACAACTTAATCAAACGTCTAAAGAAGAACCTTTCTTCACCTTTTTAAAAACACTCGGACATGGACATTACCACGTACAGAAACAGTAGTTTTCAAAACATCGAAAAAATTGTCTTGCATGATAAATTTTTGCAATATTCCGATAACTCTTCCAGATGGTTTTTTGTAGTAAATGGATATCATCTAGGATATCATATAATAAGTTGAAATGCCCACTGTGCTGGTTTAATTGTTGAAAATGACACCTATTCTATAATACAGGGTGTTTGGTACATCGATAGAAAGTTTTCAATGATTACTCATTAGAAACTTCCTAACTATCACTAGTTGGAGTTATTTGGAAGCTGTTTGACCATATTTACCCTTACCTATGCAAAGTTTCGTCGTTTTTGAAATATCAGCATTTTTAGATATTTTTGGGAAATATTTAAATTGTCTCTGTAACATATTGTTTTTATTTTGGAATAACCACTTTAACCTTTCTCTATTTTTTTTCCGATATTCCTGATATGCACTCTTCCGAAAAATCCGGAAAGAAAAACCGAATGATTGATACAAAAAATATATAGCCCAAGTTATGTGTTAAAATACATGGATTCAAAATATCTAAAATGGCGATATCTCAAAAAACAGCGAAACTTTGCTTGAGGGTAAATATGGTCAAACAGCTCCCAAATGACCTCAACTATCACTCATTGAAATCTTCCTATCGATGTACCAAATAACACCTTGTATAATTGGTTCGCTGTTCAATTTATATTTCTTAATTTTTTTTAAGTCGTTGGTTTCATTTTCTCATAATTTTTGTTATTGTTGTATGGTATGAATTTGCCGCCCCTGGATCGTGCCGCCCTGCTCGCTCCCCTCTTAAGCCGGCCCTGAGGGTATATATACCAACAGTACCCACTGTTCATGCGCCAACGTCTATGAGGATCAAGCGGGCCCCTAAATACCTAGAAGATCATACCTACTATGTAAAAAACATCCAGCGGGGAGGAATGTGAGTTACATTTATTTTCTCCTCAGCAAACTTCCATCGTTTTGGTATTTCGAACGAATTTTGCTGTTGGCTGGGGAGATTTCTGGAAGACAGGAGACAGGTCATTACATGTTGTAATCGATGGCATCTCTTCTGAGTTCTAGATACACTGTTTATAAATGTCAGCATTCTCAGGCCTAATTATGTCCCCAACACTGTTTTTCATTTTTATAAATGATTTGTTAAATGTGACAAGAAAGCCCATATACAGTTTTCGCTTACTGCAGCCACTTCCAGATGCCTTGCCCGAGAGGATTCATTCTATCAACAGTGATCTTGATACCATAAGTCCACCTCTGGAACTCCTTGTCTTTCACTTCTTTTCGTGAATGATTTAACCTTATTGTAATCAAATGGAGCGTTAATCGTCACTTAAATCTTTCCGCTCAACAAAAAGATATACGTGTACGTGAGGCATTTTTTCAGATTCAGATGAGAAACAAAGTGTGCTCTATAGTTAAGAAAATTCATCCAGAAATGATTATGTAAATGATGATGGAAAGGTTTTGTATAAGGACTCACGTATGATTATGATGATGGCTGACCACAAATTTGATCTTGGAGGGTGAGAGATTTCTCATCAACCAAAACCAAATGAAATTCTTGATACTACTCCCCAAGACTGATATGCTGAATATCAATGGAACTTGATGAAATAATAAGTAAGCTTCTTATTGAAAGACAAAAAACCCAATTTCACAATTGCTTCTTCAGAAAACATGGGAATTAAAGTTACCATGGAATTCTAGTGTTAACCAAGAAACCGAACTTTTTTTTGGGAAACGTCTAATGAAGTATAAAATTAAAATAAAATCATATAGTATTTCCTCAAGTAACCTTTCATTCACAATATGTAATTTTTAAGAAAAGTTCTTATTAAAATATTATCTATTATTACAAGATGAATTTTTGAATTCTAAATCAAATATTCTTCATGATAAGCATTTCTTGTTAAATCTGTCAGATCAGTCGTGTTTATGAAGCATTTTCTTTATTTTCCAGATTAATCAATCCAGTAGAAAACCGTTTCGTGGCCTACTTCACCCTGGGCGAAGGTTGGCACAACTACCACCACACGTTCCCGTGGGACTACAAGGCGGCGGAACTAGGAAAACTAAATATAACCCTTTACTTAATAGACTTGTTTGCTAAAATCGGATGGGCCTACGATCTGAAAACCGCCTCGCCAGAAATGATCAAAAACCGAGCGGTCAAAACCGGAGACGGAAGTCACGAGATATGGGGATGGGGAGACAAGGACCAAAGTAAAGAAGACTACGAATCTGCAGTGATTTATAATAGAAAATTATAAATAAACTACCCCTTTTTTGATTAAATTGTATTTTATACGGTCTAATTTCGAATTTAAAACAACAACGATAATCCTCGCTAAAACCATATTGACAGCGTAATCCGATTGCGCGTTCAATCACGGGGTTGTTTTCGGAAAAGGAAAATTAAAAAGGACCCTCTCTCTGCTCTGGATCCGATTTTAATTAAATTATTGCGACGTACCCCGAGAGAGTGATGTTTGTTTAAGGGATTAACCGCTAAAGCTAAACTAACCCTACGCGGGTGATAGATCATAGTCATTAAACGGTTATTAAGTTTGTGTTAGATTTTGGTAGCCTATGAATAATGTATTTGGATGATGGTGATGTGTTGGGGTGGTTGGTTTTTTTTCTTTTGCGCACGTGTGCAAGGGTGACTTTGAAGGTCTTAGGACTCACCCAAATATGTATTGTCGTCAATCAATAAAATTATATTTTGATTTCCATAAACACCATTGTAATTATTGAGCAAAAACAAAAATATTTTTCAAATAAATATTCATTAGGTAAATGAATCCATTTATAGGCGGAAATGGCTGAGTATTGACATATTTTGCAAACAATGCAACGATAAATTGGTACTTAATTTTCTTAGTTTATTTTTATAGAACTTACAGGTGCTTGACTATTGAGGTAAGCTCTTTTAATACAATTTAAATGTGAATCAAAGAGATTTTTATTTTTAGCAAAAATGCCTCCAAATTCTTCAGACACATCGATTTGTCAGCGGCCTAATATACTTACAGGTGTTTTAGATGAAAAGGACGTTGTTGATACCGATAAAATTCCAAAAGACACCTTCAAAGTAAAACCTAGAGAGTACATTATAGTTTGGAGAAATGTGATTTTGTACGGTTTGGTACATATTTTCGGTTTATATGGTTTATATTTGTCGTTTACCAGTGCTAAACTTGCTACAACACTTTTTGGTAAAATTCTAATAAGTACTCAGAGGAGTTAGTTTTTTAATTTACACAATTTATAGGTTTCATCGTTTACCAATTGGGTGCGTTTGGTACTACAGGAGGAGCACACAGATTATGGTCTCACAGAGCTTATAAGGCTACGTGGCCTTTGAGGTTTTTCTTGATGATTTGTCAAACGATATCGGTGCAGGTAAAAATAGACTGAATTATACATAATTTTTAATGAAATTGTAAAAGTTAACTGTTCTCCATTTGAATTAGACTCAAGATCTTCTTTCTTATTAGGTCAAATGAATTTTTCTTGAAAATGTTTGGCAAAAGTTTCTGATGTTAGAGGGCTGATTTTTCTAAGTTCTTGTGACATATTTCATTCTTTCTAACTTACAGTGCATAATACTCTCTGCAATTTCCCTTCTATGATGCTGTATTTGAAAAAATTTAAAGTTTTCAGCCTGTCTTATCGTTTCTCCTAAAGTTATCACTTATCTTTCTTCAAACGTACTTTCATCCACACCTGAAATATCATGTTTTCGTCTAGCTTCACCATTCATCTCTTTGTCCTTTATATCCATCAAATTAGAAGATTGAAGTGGATGTTCGTCAAGGTTTCTAACAGCATCGTCAGTCTTTTGCCGAGTCAATTTTGTACAAGTTCAAGTACAAGTTTTTTAAAATTATACTTTGATTATCAAGAAAACTTGAAATTTACTTGAATTCCATCAAGTAATTTATTTCCAGTAAAAACATTGATCTTCAAGTAGGTAAAGTGGCATTACTTGAAGTATATTTTAGTACTTGGAGTAGGTATAGGTATGTAAAAAAAAAGGTTCTTTGGTGCTTAGTAAATTTTTATATTCATCGCTATAAGGTACGCCGATTCGAGTAAAATTTTGTACATCTCAGTCTCAGTTCTAAAAATCAAGCGGAGCATCATTCCAAAATAGGTACAGGTTATTTTATATTTAGGTCCATACCTACAGCCTAAGGTGCGGTTAGAAATAATTTCCCAGATCTTTGTTGGATATTCAAGCAAATTCAAATAAATTATATATCATTGGAATGAACATTAAATTCTCTATAAATAGGTGCAAAATTGAGCTTGATAGCTCAAATAGTTTTTGAGCAATTGAGCTTCAAAGTTGACTTCTAGTCCGAATTTTGTCAAAAACTTCAAACTCAATTTGCTCAAAAACTATAAACCTAATAATATTGTGCATTGCAGGCCATTTAGAGCTTAATAAGAGCTACAAATGCTCAAAATTTTAATGGAATTTACTCAATAGTTACTTAACCTATCGATAGAGCGGATCCAAATTATCGGAAAGTAACCCGGACATCATTTCCAAATGGCCATCTTAAAGAGAAACAAAAATTTTAAAAAAATCCTATTTTTTGCTCTGAAAAATTTTTAAAATCTTGACATGGTCATGAGCAATTGCCGATATCTGTAATAAATTTTGCGCAAATTGGAACAAATTATATATCATTGGAAAGACCAATAAATTCTCTATAAATTCTTGCAAAATTGAGCTTAATAGCTCAAATAGTTTTTGAATAATTGAATCTCAAAGTTGACTTTTGGTGCAAATTTTGCCAAAAACTTCAAACTCAATTTGCTCAAAAACTTTAAGCCTGCGAATATTGTAAATTACAGAGTTTTTGGAGCTTATCAAGAGCAACAAATGCTATAAATTTCGATACAATTTGCCCAATGGTTACCGAGCAATTGAGGTTTGAATATTTTGAAATCAGAATTCAAGGGTACCTACCCCCTTATGAAAAACTCGATTTTTTTTATTTTTCAGTTTTGCTCAATTTTGACTTTACCAATCGATAGAGCGGGTCAAACTTAGTGAAGAACAATCCTGACATGATTTCCAAATGGCCATTTTAAGCTGAAAAAAAAAATAAATTAAAAAGAAAATCCTATTTTTGGCTCTGGAAATTTTCAAAATCTTGATATGGTCATGAGCAATTGCCCATATCTTTGTTAGATTTTGAGCAAATTGAAATAAAATATATATAATTGGAAAGAGCAATAAATTCTCTATAAATCCGTATAAAATTGAGTTCAATAGTTCAAACCGTTTTTCAGTAATTGAGCCTCAAAGTTGATTTTTAGTGCAAGTTTGGCCAAAAACTTCAAACTCAATTTGCTCAAAAACTATAAACCTTGGAATATTGTAAATTACAGGGTTTTAAGGGGTTATTAGGACCTACAAATGCTAACAATTTTAATTCAATTTGTCCAACGGTTACCGCGCAATTGGGGTTTGAATATTTTGAAATCCAGAATTCAAAGGGGGTAGGTACCCTTTTGAAAAACTGGATTTTTTTATTTTTCAGTTTTGCTCAATTTTAACTTCACCATTCAATAGAGTGGGTCAAAATTAGTGAAAACCCACTCTGACATGATTTCCAAATGGCCACAAACAAAAATAATTGAACTTTTGGCTCTGGAAAATATTCAAAATCCTGACATGGTCATGAGCAATTGCCGATATCTTTGCAAATCAAAATAAATTATATACCATTGGAAAGAGCATTAAATTCTCTATAAATCTATGTAAAATTGAGTTTGATGGCTCAAAAATTTTCTGAGTAATTGAGCCTCCAAGTTGACTTTTAGTCTAAATTTTGTCAAAAACTTCAAACTCAATGTTCTCAAAAACTATAAACCTGGGAATATTGTAAATTACAGGTCATTTGGAGCTTGATAAGAGCTGCAAATACTGTAAATTCCAATGCAATTTGCTCGCCGGTTTCTGAGCAATTGAGGTTTGAATATTTTGAAATAAGACTGCCTTCCTTTCAAATCAGATTTTCCCGATCGGCGATCTGAACATTTATTTTTGCAATAGACCCCCACCCAGTCAACTACCCTTTCTTCTACGTCTGTACCTCCACTTAAATCCGTAATGATTATATCTATCATTTTTTCCTCCACGTTCCTACTACCTGCGAAATTATGCATTTCACGGTTCTTTAGCACCATGTGTCCTAGATCTGTTTTCTTTTCGATACTTGCGAACAAACACACATTTTTGCCCGATTTGGTCGCAACTTGAACTCGATTTTTTTTATTTTTCAGTTTTGCTTAATTTCCACTTCACCAATCGATAGAGCGGATCAAAATTAGTGAAGAACAATCCTGACATGATTTCCGAATGATCATTTTATGCTGAAAAAAAAAAATTAAAAAAGGAAATCCTATTTTTGGCTGTGTAAAATTTTCAAAATCTTGACATGGTCATGAGCAATTACCGATATATTTGTTAAATTTTGAGCAACTTGAAATAATTTATATATCATTAGAAAGAGCAATAAATTCTCTATAAATTCGTACAAAATTGAGTTCAATACCTCAAACAGTTTTTGAGTAATTGAGCCTCAAAGTTGATTTTTAGTCCAAATTTTGCCAAAAACTTCAAACTCAATTTGATCAAAAACTATAAACCTAGGAATATTGTAAATTACAGGGTTTTTTGAGCTTATGAAGAGCTACAAATGCTGAAAATTTCAATACAATTTGTTTAACGGTTACCGATCAATTGAGGTTTGAATATATTGAAATCAGAATTCAAAGGAGGTAGGACCCTTATGAAAAACTCGAAAAGTGTTAAGAGCTGAAAGCTAATGTGAAAAGTGTTAAGAACTGATAAGAGAACACTACAAAATCAGTTCAGTCTTGTGAGAATCGATTCAGATAATTCAGAATACTTTGGTACCAATTTTGACACACCAAAAGCACTTTAGAACATGATCCAGATTACCTTAGAACATGGTCCTGGATCGCATTTTCGAATATTCTCGCATAAGAAATTTGATAGGATTTCGAATGCCTCCCATTTAATTCACATTGCTGTCAGTCAAATTTCGTGTACGAAATGTACTCGGATGAATTCGAAAATACGACCCCTGGGGTGGTATTTGACGTTTGAATCACGCATTTAACGTCAAATTGTCGAAGCAATGTCAAAAAAGAGCGAATTTCGCTGTTATGAATACTAGGTTATAGGCAGGTTTTTTCAAATTCTGATAAAGCGACAGATCAAAATAAGAACGCAATCTATCCGCCGACCAAGAATTATAGACCGGTAAATTTATCCTGCAGTTAGCAGTAGCAAGTTTATCTGAAGATGAATAAACCTGGCCTTAGAGAAATTTGGAAGATAAAGTCAAGAGCCAAAAATTGAGATCTAAAAACATATTGTTTTCGAAGTTGAAGTTCAGTTGGCAACACAGAAATTTTGCGAATCAAATATCTTAATTGATACTGGAAATTTACAATTGGAAAAACTGAAACTGAATAAGTTACATATTATAGTAGGCCATGTACCATCGTCACCAAAAGTAACTGGGACAGCATCACATTAGCTCTTGTCCTATTATATGAATTTTATGTCAAATATTTGTCAAACTATGAAATGAATGACAGTAGAATTAGTCCAGGAGATTATTATGCATTATTTGTGTCCCAGATACTTTTGGTGACGATGGTACAATTTAAAAGTAATTATCTTTCAGCTGGCGATACTTGAGTTAAATTTATTGGTATTGCGAATTCACAGTTGGCAACACTGAAACTCAATAACTTATGTATCCTTAGTAGGCCATGTAAAATTTAAATAACTTTGTTTCAGTTGGCAACACTGAAGCACAATAGCTTACAGGCCATGTAAAATTTAAATAGGAAAATTGCTTTCAGTTGACGACATTGAAGCCAAATATCTTGGCACCAATTATTTACAATTGGCAACACTGAAAAGAAGTTACAAAATCCAAGTAGGCTATGTCAAACATCTTTGAAACTGAAATTTTACAGTTGGCAATGCTGAAACCTAATAACTCACATATCTTAATAAGGCCATAATGTAAACTTGTAGTTCAACTTTCTTGCAGTTGGCGACATTGAAGCTTGACATGTCAACACTGGAACTCAACAAGTACCAAAATTGAGTTTCTCTTAATATACCAATGCGCTCAAAAATCAACAGAATTTCAATACAATTCTTCAGTTCCCTTCAAAATAATGCCATGCTATCGTCAAAACATTAAATATGACGTAACTTTTTTCGACAGGTTATACACTGTTGCCAACACCAACAACATTATAGTCACTCCCCAATTCTCCGCTAGGATATTTTTGCCGTGACGTAGGCATTTCAGCTGTCAACCAAAAAATTATCT